TGGTGAAGTGTTTTTTTTTTAAGGGTATAGTACAAAATGTCCCCTAACTTTGGGTGATGTTGCAAATCAACTACCTCTTCTGATTTTAATTTCAATAAATTGCCCCCTCAAAATTTGAATATGATTCAATTAACCCAAGCTAACAATAAAAAATAACAAAAGTCAATCATGTGCAAGTTACATGATCTCAGATTTGTTGAAAAGATAAAATTACCCATAATAAAAAAAAAATTCCTCACTTATAAATACTCTTCATTCCTCTCAAATACTTGCATTTTCCTAATCCCAGCGCCAAAGCTTCTTCCCCTTCCCTTTTCAATAAATCCTGCTTCCCCGTCAATAGAAACCCCTATTTCCATTGGCAGCATCTACTTTCCCACCAATAACTCCCATTGGTGAAACACCTTCTCTCACATGTTTTTCTATTTCTTCCCTTTCTGTCACACACACATACATGTATTGCTCCGCCCCAGCCCAACAAAACCATAGCCTTCATATGTATTTGAACTCCAAACGCCCATTCCACTATCGCAGATGGCTATATCTATCTCATACAAATTTGAATTTCTCTTTCCCCCCCTATAAAATATATTTTTGGTTTGCAAAATAGATCAAATTATACAAGTGGGTTGGAAGGAGGTGGTGGTGGTGGCAGATCTAATTTGCTGGGGGATGGAGAGATAGAGGTGGTTCAGCCTTCGGTAATTACAAAATGTACCCATTGATTTGCTCATGGTGGATGTCACTTACTAATTACAGAACACGATAATTGATTATTGTAACCAACTCTTATCACCAAGAGTCATAGTTTAACTTCAACACTGGATTCTATAGGATGTTTATCTCATTTGTATATTTAAATCTATTCTACACACAAATATTAATATAAATAAAACTCATTTAACCACAACTGGGCAAGTCATTCAACCCAAATCAGTCACTTTATCTTTTTTTGGTATTAGAGCCAACATCAATAAACCTCTGTCTCTTTTTTTTTTTCCATCATTATGACTACTTCAACTCAGTCCACAACTCTTCCGCTCACAAACATTACAAACTTTGTTTCAATCAAACTTGACGGCAATCAAGGACGGAACCATCAGTGAATTATGGTACGCTAAAACTCAAAGTAGGAAAAAAAAAAAATTAACACTTTTATACGAGACTATTAGTATTAATTCACTAAATCACTAATCATTAGTCGAATTTCTCAAAACCTTTAAAGTTTAAGCCCAATAATCATGAAAAGAAAGAATTTTTCAAAATTTTTTATTCCTATTTTGATCGAAACAGGGAGGGGATTACGCCAACGCCAAACACCTCAATTTCGTTTGTATCGTTCATTCGTCATCTAATTCTACTTGACTAATCATCTTCCAAGAACCACAAACAGGAATTATGTCTAAGTTGTGTGAGGTACCACAACTCATTCCTTGTCTTCTTGATCATATATTCAGACGTTATTTAGATTGTTTTCTCTGATTTTCTATTAATTATTTTTTAATTAGAATAATAGAATCATTGTTGTCTTGTTGATTTGCTTCTCAAATTTTCGGTCATTCCCTACTTTATTTAAATGTACCATTTCATGTTACCACTGTCTCTAGTCTGATGCTCACCCCTCTTGATGTCCCCTTTCCATACCCAGTGTTATCTTCCCCAACCTGCTCCATCTCTGTTCCATCATCTTTATCCTTGGCTATGTATCAGCATCACCATTGTCCGATACTTCAACTACTGGCTCAGTCGCTACATCTATCTTCCACCAACTCCCTCAACACCTACTGAATTTTGCCTCTGGAGCATCACCAACAAATTCTACCTCCAGCATTTCAGCTCCACTACATGATACTGCTCAACAAAATCCTTCTACAGCTACCCCGTCTCTTCACCCCATGTTCACCCGAAGTTACATTGTCAATGCCTTCGTAATCCTTGAACCACATCTTACCACCTAGCTTCAACGGATCCAAATTGGGTATCTGTCATGTTGTCCGAATTTTAGGCACTTTAGCGTAATAATACATCGACACTTGTTTCACATCAACCCATTATGAATGTCGTGGGTTTCAAATGGATCCATCGCATCAAGCATTGTAGTGATGGCTCCCTTGAGCGCTACAAAGCCCGCCTTGTGGCCCAAAGGCTTTACCCATCAACCAGGCATCGACTTTACTGAAACATTTAGTCCAGTTGTCAAACCACCTACAATTCGCACTGTCCTTAGTCTTGCAGTTTCCAGCAATTGGCCAATTGGCCAACTTAATCTCTATAATGCATTCCTAAATGGTCAGCTTACTAAAGAAGTATATATGCACCCACCTAAACCATCTCATGTGTGTCGATTGCACAAAGACATCTACAAACTGAGACAAGCACCTCGGGCTTGGTTCCAATGCTTCAACAATTTCCTTATCACTATTGGTTTCCAAAAGAGTAGAGTAGACACCTCTATGTTTGCGCTTTAAGTCCAACAAGGGTACACTAGTTCTCCTTTTATCGACGATATTATCTTAACTAGTGATCAACTTTTCTTGCTTAACTCTTTTTTATCTCAACTCAGGTATGAATTTGCTCTCAAAGACTTGGGTGACCTGCGCTATTTTTTGGGTATTGAAGCTACTTTTATTTCTTCAGGCGTTAAAATAACCCAAAACAAATACATACACTTGATCTCTTGAAGCGCGCAGCTATGACTGGCTACAAACCTTGCCATACACGAACCCCCACTAGTTCCAGAATATCTAACACAGCTGGTGACCCACTTTCTGATCCCACAGAGTATCGTCATCTTGTTGGCTTTCTTCAATACCTTACACTCACTTGTCTCGATTTGTGTTACTCTGTCAATCATGTTGGCCAATTTCTTCAGTCACCCACCACCAATTATATTAAAGCTGTCAAGCGCATTTTGCGTTATATCAAAGGAATGCTCAGTTATGGTCTCCATATTCGCCCGGGGCCTTTTTCCACTTTCTCTACCTTCACTGATACAGATAGGGCCGGCCGCCTCAATACCCGATGCTCCACCACTGGCTTTTGCATTTTCCTCAGCTCTACTCTTGTTTCATAGGAGTTTAAGAAACAACACACTATCTCCCGCTCAAGCACCGAAGCCGAGTACAAGGACTTAGCTTTCACCACTTCTAAAATGCAATGGCTTTCCTACTTTCTTCGCGACCTCAACATTGTCATCCACAAGCCTATGCTCATTCATTGCGACAATATGAGTGCCACACATATGGCTGCCAATCCAGTTCTACATGTCTGCACCAAACACATTGAGGTCGACTACCATTTTGTTTGGGAACTTGTGGTACAGGGTACTCTTCATGTTCAATTTGTTCTGTCCACGTCTCAACTAGCTGACATTTTCACAAAGGGTTTGCCATCTTCGACATTTCACCAGCATCTGTCCAAGCTCATCTGGTACACAATATTAGTTTGCGGGGGAATAATAACACAACACATAATAATTGATTATTGTAACCAATTCTTATCACTATGAGTCCTAGTTTATCTTCTGCACAAGATTATATTGGATGTCTATCTCATCTGTAAAGTCAAATCTATTGTACACAAATATTAATGTAAATAGAACTCATCTACCCACAATTGGGTAAGTCATTCAACCCAAATCAGTCTCTTGATCTTTCAAATACTAAATGTGTGGTTGTGATGATTTGTTTAGTAGTTATGCCTCTTTGTTTTTGTTGTGCATTTATTCCAACTATTATTCCGTGTGTTATTTAACTGCATTGTTGCTTTCTATTGACATTTTCTCATCTTTTCAATGGCAAAAAACTAGGAGCTATCTTTGTTTAGGAACTGAGGATACCTAACTTAAAATTTAGGATTTTGATTGGGAATGGGGATGCAAGGATACTTGGTCACAAGGAGACCTTTCCTCACTAGAGAAGAGAACATACGAGATCATGGTTACGGAGCTTTTGTGATTCTAGTTTTGCTATGAGTTCTATCATGATCTTTTAAGCATTATATGCCATTGAAGGATTTATGTTCATATAGGTGGGACAAGTTTTAATCTGACTGTCAGTTACCTAACATAACTCTCTTCTTTTATCTGGTTCAACATTGTAATAATGTGCTTTTTTTTCTACTGTTGGATCTGATTAGGATAATAGTCGAAAGAGCATGACCAAGTACCTCCTTCAGTCTTTCTTGGATTGCAAGATCTATGATTTGGAGGAGATTTCGATTACATACTACTCTTAGATCAAGCTGTGGCAAGCAAATAAATAACAGAATTACTTTCATTTGCAAATATTATATTGATTACACCCTCCATCATAAATTGATAAAGGTCATACAATACTAGGGGTGTTCAAATTTCTAATTAGCCACAATTTTCCTACTTTACTCGACCTTATTGAACGACTAGTTGAAAAAATCGAGTAGAAATGTGGAATAGCCATTAATTTTCATATTCCTATCCTACCCTACCCAACCCGAATTAATATATATATATATAAACTAAAAATCATAATTTTCTAACCATATGATTTAAACTTAAAATAATTGTTATTGTATTTTTGATGGATTGATGTTTTATGTTTTATTGTGTTTTATTGTAATTTTTTGTTGTAATTGTTTTAAGTTTAAATGTTATTGGTTTATTGTGTTGTTAAATTGGTACATGTTATTTAATTAAATTGTTAAAATGATCCAAAAATTAATAACTACAAAATTGTTCACCTAATTTCCTACTTGACTTCTTGCCCAATTAAGTTAGCCAAAAGTCGGGTAAAAATATCATACCAGGTAGAATAGGCCCAAAAAAAATTCTTACGCAAAATATCGAATAAAAAGACGAAAGACCATATTTTCTACTCGGTAGAGTAGAGTGAACACCCATATACAATACTTTCATGCTTGAATTTTCATGTACAATAACATACTCATCTTAACTTCTTTGCACTCCGAATAGAAATAATCCAGGCTTTACATACAGCCTCTGGAAAACTTTATTTTAGTCGAATCTACTTTATGTATCGTATTCCAGGGAGGCCTAGGATATCCTGAAAGAGAATTGTTGTAATATGGCGGTAGGCCTCCTGTGTCAAATGGGCTCCATCCCAACTTATGTATTGAACCGGGTTACTGCAAACAGGCACATCACGAGACCCACATTTTCTGTTATCATCGTAGTTATATGGCCCTCCAATTCCACAACATGATCTTAACAATGATGTTTCGTCGAACCCTACATAAACATGCATTAAAATTTCATAATTCATCATTTAAGCTCACAAAACAGGTTATATGAACATGGTGTTTTTTAACTTTCTTTTTGAACTACTCACCAAAACTAGCTGCATGACGTAGAATTGCTTGGTAAGCTGCATAGTAGTCGGCGTAAATTATAGCAACATGTGGAAATTCAAGCCTGAGCCAGGCCAAAGACTCCCGAAGATAATTGTTATGAGCCAATGCTAGCTCATTTAATTCGTTTAAGCATCCCATATCGTCATAAGCTGTCGCATCACCACCAGAGACTAATGTCAGGCCGGCTGGTAAGCATCCCATTGGAAAATTTCCAGGAACTACGACATTCACAGCACCAAGGATTATCACTTCCTGCACAAAATGATAATAGGGTGGGTTAAGACAATTTAAGACCTAAAGCGATAACACTAAATGAGGTTTTTTAAATATTAATTTTTTAAAAAAAATAAATTTATTTTTAATTTATTATGTGAGAGAGATAAAATAAAGAAGTATTAATATTGTCGAAAAAAATGTTTTAACTTTTGTTTTTATTTTTTATCGGAAAGAGAATTTAATTTCAACTTTTTTTTGTACTTTTTACTTATTTTTACTCATAGAGAGTGTGTAGGCAGGAATAAATATGAGTTAACTTTTGAGAATTTTTTTTTTTAACTTGTGATTTTTAGATTTCTAATGTTACGGAATGAATCGTGGACCCAAATTATTACAATAAAAATTTTGATTGTATTTAATTTTTTTGGACATTTTTTTTAGGATTTTAAAATTTAATAAATTTAATTTTTTCTTTTTTAGTTAGTAATGTATCTAAAATTATAGAATCTTCTAAAATTTAATATTTATCTGTAGGGGNATTTAATTTTTTCTTTTTTAGTTAGTAATGTATCTAAAATTATAGAATCTTCTAAAAATTTGGGGCCAAGCCCAAGCCTTTTTTTTTAATACTACTGAGCCGACCCTGCACGATAATGACACCAAGGTGAATTATGGTACATAATAACTACATTACATGGATTGCTGGAATATTTTCTGTGCATGTGGGATAAGGCTTTGTACATCTCACTCTTCAGAAACTCTGCAGGGTNAACTTAAAATAATTGTTATTGTATTTTTGATGGATTGATGTTTTATGTTTTATTGTGTTTTATTGTAATTTTTTGTTGTAATTGTTTTAAGTTTAAATGTTATTGGTTTATTGTGTTGTTAAATTGGTACATGTTATTTAATTAAATTGTTAAAATGATCCAAAAATTAATAACTACAAAATTGTTCACCTAATTTCCTACTTGACTTCTTGCCCAATTAAGTTAGCCAAAAGTCGGGTAAAAATATCATACCAGGTAGAATAGGCCCAAAAAAAATTCTTACGCAAAATATCGAATAAAAAGACGAAAGACCATATTTTCTACTCGGTAGAGTAGAGTGAACACCCATATACAATACTTTCATGCTTGAATTTTCATGTACAATAACATACTCATCTTAACTTCTTTGCACTCCGAATAGAAATAATCCAGGCTTTACATACAGCCTCTGGAAAACTTTATTTTAGTCGAATCTACTTTATGTATCGTATTCCAGGGAGGCCTAGGATATCCTGAAAGAGAATTGTTGTAATATGGCGGTAGGCCTCCTGTGTCAAATGGGCTCCATCCCAACTTATGTATTGAACCGGGTTACTGCAAACAGGCACATCACGAGACCCACATTTTCTGTTATCATCGTAGTTATATGGCCCTCCAATTCCACAACATGATCTTAACAATGATGTTTCGTCGAACCCTACATAAACATGCATTAAAATTTCATAATTCATCATTTAAGCTCACAAAACAGGTTATATGAACATGGTGTTTTTTAACTTTCTTTTTGAACTACTCACCAAAACTAGCTGCATGACGTAGAATTGCTTGGTAAGCTGCATAGTAGTCGGCGTAAATTATAGCAACATGTGGAAATTCAAGCCTGAGCCAGGCCAAAGACTCCCGAAGATAATTGTTATGAGCCAATGCTAGCTCATTTAATTCGTTTAAGCATCCCATATCGTCATAAGCTGTCGCATCACCACCAGAGACTAATGTCAGGCCGGCTGGTAAGCATCCCATTGGAAAATTTCCAGGAACTACGACATTCACAGCACCAAGGATTATCACTTCCTGCACAAAATGATAATAGGGTGGGTTAAGACAATTTAAGACCTAAAGCGATAACACTAAATGAGGTTTTTTAAATATTAATTTTTTAAAAAAAATAAATTTATTTTTAATTTATTATGTGAGAGAGATAAAATAAAGAAGTATTAATATTGTCGAAAAAAATGTTTTAACTTTTGTTTTTATTTTTTATCGGAAAGAGAATTTAATTTCAACTTTTTTTTGTACTTTTTACTTATTTTTACTCACAGAGAGTGTGTAGGCAGGAATAAATATGAGTTAACTTTTGAGAATTTTTTTTTTTTAACTTGTGATTTTTAGATTTCTAATGTTACGGAATGAATCGTGGACCCAAATTATTACAATAAAAATTTTGATTGTATTTAATTTTTTTGGACATTTTTTTTAGGATTTTAAAATTTAATAAATTTAATTTTTTCTTTTTTAGTTAGTAATGTATCTAAAATTATAGAATCTTCTAAAATTTAATATTTATCTGTAGGGGAGAGAGTCTCGTGCATTGTATTGCCTAATAACTGCTTAACGCAAAAGTTAGAAATAACTAAACTGTAATAATAAATATATAGAAACTTACTTGAACAACATTAGTAATGGCCTCTATGATATATGGCAGGTAAGTGTAAATCTCTTGAATGGATTTGCCTTGTATGAGAGGATAGTAAACATCATTGCCTCCGATCTCGCCCACGAAGACAAGAGCCTTGCTAAGGTGCTTCTGACATTCTGAACAAACATATGAAAAAAGTTCAGGCAATTTGAGTTACAGGATTTTCCATGGTATCAAAAGTAACTTCTTAATGCTATATGGAAAGTCACATTCCAATGGGGTTTAACTACAACTCCAACACGACAAATTATGGTTCAATGAGATTGAGTTAAGATCAATCTAAAGAACTAGAATCGTAATCGTAGACTTTTTCATAATGTTATATCTAACCATGTTGGGTGGATGCTGACAATGTTAGGACAAATAGTGACAAACCTTGAATCAATGATCAAAAATACCATTATTTTTTAAATTTTCTTCCACAAGATCATCATTTTCAACTTATTCCTGAAATTATCAGAATTTTTATGACATGCTTTTCAGTGTAAAAGCATAAATAACCCTTATATATATATATATTGAAAGCATGTTTTGTAGTATACACATTGAAAAGTGCAGATGCAGATGCTAATATAAGTCACAGTATTTTAGTTCGGTAAGTACGTTAAGTTTTGAAAGAACCGTGGAATAGTAACAAACCTGTTTGTGTTTGGCAGATGGTGTTGAGGTGGGATTTAAACCAATTAAGCTGATCACCCAAAGAAAGATTAGTGGTTGGATTATAAACGCCCTTTGTGGCGAGGAAAGTGTAGTCCAATGCTGTACTTCCGGCTACTGCAAAGTTGGCACCATGATCGAATGTGGCACTGCTTTCGAGATAAGGATTAAGCAGTGGGAGAGAAAGAGCTATGGCTGTGAATCATCGGCCACATAAATAAGTTTAGCCATGTTTATTGTTCTGTCAAAACACATACAAACAAACACACAGAGACAAACACACAATCATAGGCAAAGCCAAGATTCTATGCTGGGGGAGCCAAATAATGGCACAATTTGATATTTATTTAACAGTAATGAGGCTATTCAAAAAGTCATCGTTAATGTCAAATTTTTTAGTTATATAGAACTTATCAAAATCAACTTCCTAAAAATTAGTTTGAATATTAAATTCAAAAATTTATTCTTACTTTCAATAGTTAAATTTAATTTGTGGTAATTTTGCAATCCACTATTCTCACATTTGTTAAATGATGTAATAACTACAAATAATTACTAGCAGTGCTTTTTATCACATGATAGAAGTTAATAATAAGTCATTGTATAACTGATGAAGTAGTAATCAGGGACGAGTCAAAATTTTATCTTGAGGGGGCCAGAATAATGGCATAGTCAAAAAATTTTATTCAATAGAGTCATTTGATGAGCAATAGTTAATGTCAAATTTTTTGATTTATAGAATGTATAAAAATAACTTTCATGAATTATAATAATAGTTAATTTTCAAAAAATCAAAAAAATTAATTGAACTTTGTCAAATCAATTGCACGCAAGACGATTTTTATATTAATTGATAAAAAAAAAATTTTAGNAATTTTCAAAAAATCAAAAAAATTAATTGAACTTTGTCAAATCAATTGCACGCAAGATGATTTTTATATTAATTGATAAAAAAAAATTTATTTTAATTTCAGGATATAATAACTTGATATAACTAAATTGTACTAAGCTGATACATTGCGTGAAAATCCGAATAAAATGAGATATAGTATGTGCATATCTCTTAATTAAATACATATAGTACATGCAACATTGGATACTAAATACCTTTTAAAAAAAACATTAGGCCCCATTTATCCTTTTAAATTATTATCCTGATTGGATCTTATTCCTATGATTATTAAATTGAAGTCTTTGTACCATTAATATTTCAAATTGCTAAATTTTTGCACCTATTGTTATTGCTCAAATTCTATAGTTTACGAGACTATTTTCAATAATTGGTGGTACAATATGTTTACATGAATAGTTGATGGGTTCCAAGACTATTTTCAACTGATGATGCCTAGAAAATTCCAAGGCTAAGCTTGATTATTCAGGTTAGGTAGAGAGAACAGTAACATACAAAACCTCAAGTTCCCTTAATTCGCACCTCTGAGGAAGCAAAGTGGAAGACAAATGGCAACCACCAAGCTTCTCCTCAATGGAAATAAGCACCAGTCCATGCACTAAATTCGCAATTTCCCCGTCTCACCGCATAACCGCCACACAAATCGAACAAAACGTTACATGAGGGAGGCGAAGATCACTCCTCTGATTCTGCTAAGCTTGATATTTGCTATAAATACTGTATAAAGCCCTCTCTAGGGGCAAGCAATAAGAGCTTTTATCAAACTACTGTGTAATCTCTTTTTATTAATATAGTCCTCAGGAGTACGAAACTTTATTGAATAGTGGATTAGTCGTGCTCCCGAGCTGGCAAACCATTATAATTCTTCTGTGCTATTGACCCCATTCCCCTAAATTCTTGTTTCCCAGCGCCTCAAAGCTCAGATTGAATCTTGCGTTGTACCTAGCATTCTCTGTTATGCTTAATTGCGTTATACACATTATCATAATTAAATATTTACTGGGTTCAAGTGTAAATCATAAGATTAGTGTCGTTGGATCGTAATTTTAAATAATATAGGGCATCGTTGTGTTTTTTTAGCATAAGTTAAAATCATAAGATTAACCGTTGCAGCATAGCTCTAAATGACTTAAGCCCATGTAGTATATGTTTTAGAACTTCAGTATCTTTATCTTATTATATAGATAATCCCTTGGCTCATACATGTATAAAATGCCGATTGTTGGTGTTGACCCAAGTGGCTGTGCTCGTTTGGTGGTTGGCCCACCATATAAACTCACTAGCTAAGGAATCTTATCATATTAATTTTTTAATATTTTTTTGACATGTAAATTGAAAACTGATTCCAATCAATAATTTTTCTGCACTCGTAGCTATAACTTGATTAAGAGATTATGCAGTTATTTGTGCCAGAATTAATCAACACTAACTCATGAATTTTGTGTACTGACAGAGTAAAATGATGGGATAAATGGGACTAATATAATATTTAAAGAAGCTTAATTACCGACAAAGTCTACGATGAGAAGGCCATTGGACCAGCGACCAGTGGGGCTGTCCAGAAAGCTTTCGCCATAGGGTAGATTGGCGGCGGGCAGTGTTTCACCGGAGGCGCTTTGGAGAATAAGGTTCCCTGTGTCCGCCAATGAATCTCCAAACNGGGGGGGGGGGGGGGGCGGGGGGGGGGGGGGGGAGAGAGTAAAGGCAACAAATAGAGAGAAAGAGAGCTGAGGCTAACTATCTCTGTGTGAGAGAGAGAGAGTGAGAGGGAGCTGACTGGCTGAGGCCATTTATTGGTTTGAGGATGAGAAATGTGTTGAAAATATTTATTACAATGATAGCATGCGACAATGTGAGGTATTATCACCTATTAATAATATTAAAACAAATAAGCATATGTATTCAATATTAGTCGGAGGGCGGCTTAAGGTAAATTGATGTCTCAAGCGGTAATACAACNAATGTGAGGTATTATCACCTATTAATAATATTAAAACAAATAAGCATATGTATTCAAGAGAGATTTTTTTATTTTTAATATTATTTTTTATAAAAAAATAAATTTTTTTAATTGAGAGAGGAGGATGTGATACTTTGTTTTTATTTTTTAAGAGAGAGAGAGATTTTATTTATTTATTTTTAAAATTTTTGATTTTTGATTTCTAATATTATGGATTGAATGGTGGCCTAAATTATTAAAATTATAACTTTTTGTTTGAGTTTAAATTTTTTGAGGCCTTTTTATAAGGCCTAAAATTTTCATGAATTTAAATTTTTTATGTAAACTAATTATGTATTTATAATTGTGGGGCCTTTTAAATATTTCAGACATAAAGCTCGTGCTGTTTTTTTTAATACTATTGGCCGGCCCTTAATTTACATGGGATTCGCAGACTAATCATATCACATCCACNTTAAATTTTTTATGTAAACTAATTATGTATTTATAATTGTGGGGCCTTTTAAATATTTCAGACATAAAGCTCGTGCTGTTTTTTTTAATACTATTGGCCGGCCCTTAATTTACTCAAAAATAAGGTTATGAAAGTGAGAATCGGAGAGTACATGGGATTCGCAGACTAATCATATCACATCCAGAATTTCATATGAAGGGGACAAAATACAAATAAATTTTTTTTGAAGTCCAAATAAAAGAAATATATAATTATTTAAGACTAAATTAATTTTAAAAAATAAAATTGGTACCATTAAACATTAAGAAAATACCAACAAAAAAGACATAAACGGAGTATAACATTGTACATATTAACTCAANTAAGACTAAATTAATTTTAAAAAATAAAATTGGTACCATTAAACATTAAGAAAATACGAACAAAAAAGACATAAACGGAGTATAACATTGTACATATTAACTCAGNGTATTTATAATTGTGGGGCCTTTTAAATATTTCAGACATAAAGCTCGTGCTGTTTTTTTTAATACTATTGGCCGGCCCTTAATTTACATGGGATTCGCAGACTAATCATATCACATCCACAATTTCATATGAAGGGGACAAAATACAAATAAATTTTTTTTGAAGTCCAAATAAAAGAAATATATAATTATTTAAGACTAAATTAATTTTAAAAAATAAAATTGGTACCATTAAACATTAAGAAAATACCAACAAAAAAGACATAAACGGAGTATAACATTGTACATATTAACTCAATCATGTTAAAGCGGAGTATAACGTTCTTTCAAAACATTAAAATTATTTATACTTAATATATTCTAGGAATTCATTCTCATTTTATTACGAAGCCTAATTGAGTTTGTCTGTCATCTTCTCGTGGAATTGATTCTTTTTTAAGAACCAAAAAATACTTTCTCGTTAGGACATTTTAGAATTGTGTTACCAGGTTATTTGCCTCAAAATGAACAAAATAGTGAAAGTTAGCTATACAATTATTTTTATAAAATAGGAGAAATGTATTAAATGTAAATAGGGTTAAATTTCACTTACACCCCCTGAATTTTAGTCATATTTCACTAACATCCTCTCTAGTTTCTGAAATATCACTGCATACTTCTATCAGTTTTTGTTCCATAATAGAGTAAGTAATTTTACTAAATTACCCTTACTACAACTCCCATTTTACTTAATTATCCTTACTCAAATTAATAAAAAAATAATCTATAATTTTATCAAATTGACCTTTAATTCTGTTTAATTAATATTCAATTTTATCCAATTAATATTTAATTTTATCAAAACATTAAATTTTACCAAATTAGCATTAAATTTTGCCAAATTAACATTTACATTCATCAAATTAACATTCCATTTATAAAAATTACAATAAACTTCATCAAATTAAATATTCAATTTGATCTATATAACACCAAATGAACTATGAATTTTATGAAATTAATATTAAATTTCATCAAATTAATGAAAGATTTTACCAAATTAACATGTAATTGATCTTAAATTATATAAAATTATTATTTTATTTCAACAAACTAGTATTCAATCTCATCAAATCGATATTCAATTTTATAAAATTAATACTAAATTAATATTCAATTTCAATAAACTAACTTCAAATTAACATTTAATTTCATCAAATCAATACCAAATGATAATTCAATTTGATGAAATTAACTTTCAAGCTCATATCAAAAATTAGTCAACACTACAGTTAGGTTTCGTCATAAGCCAACTCACCGACGAAGTCTATGAAGTACGGATGTTTCGTTGAGATTGATGTATCCGTATTCGATATTGTATCGAATACGATACTCGAGAACACGTATTGAATACACATTTTATGTACCCGATAATAATTAAATACTATGATACTTCATAGATATTTATGTAATCGAACAATATATATAATTTCTGAGTTAGAACTTTTAACATGTCTTTTCGAATTCACATATCATACAATACATTAACAAAAAAATTTATATTAAAGCACATGAGTGTTTTTTAAGTATTATCTACAATTACATGTTAAAAGAGCATAAAATAAAATTATTAAATTATTATCTTAAGAAAAATTACTTTTAAATATTAGGTAAATTTTAACTTTGATTCCTTTTAATTAGTCACTCACTTTATAAAATATACTTTAACAATATGATATATATTTTCTTGAAATTTAAAAAATTTATTAATTTTTTTTATTGTATATTAAAGAACCACCAAAATATATAAGTATTAAGTTGATTTAAAATAATAAAAATATTAAATATATTTTATTATAATCGTATTTTAGCCATATTCGTATCATATTTTTTTAGATTTTGTCATATTATTATATTTGTATTGTTTCGTCCCTTTATTTTATATTTATATCCGTATTTCATAGAGAGTAATATAATATATGTGTAAGCCAGCTTACCGACAAAGTCTAGGATAAGAAATCCATTAGACCAGCGACCGGTGGGCCTGCCCGGAAAGCTTCCACCGTAGGACAGATGGGTGGCGGTTAGAGTTTTGTCGGTGACACTTTTGCATAAAGGTTCCCTCTATCCGCCGATGAATCTCCCAAATAGTACATAGATTCAAAGGTAAGGGTAAAAGTGTCAAACTTGAGTCATGTTTTGATGGGTTAATTTTGAGTTTGTGTAAAAAATTTTAAAATTTAAACTTGACATGTTTAATAAGTTTTTATTAGAGCGTAAATGACATAACACAAAATAAATAAGCACAAGTCAGCTGTCATGTCTTTTGAGCTCTAAATTTGGTCAATGTAGTATTTTTAATTTAATAATGATGTTGAGATGTATAAATACTAAACTGACCTGAGCATTAAACGAATTACTCAAATTCAACCTGTTTGACAAATTTAATAAACATATCATTTTCAGGTTAACACACATAACACAGACCAGTTTAACACACATAACACATTTTCACACCATTTTATTATCATTAAATACATCATTCAAACATTTATTCAAAATTTTAAATAATTTTTTCACAAATAACATATCACATCTTATCAAAAAAAATTAACTAAAATACATTTAAATTTCAACTCAAAAATGAAAGTAAGAACTATACTAATATATTGTAATAATAATGTTAAGAACTATACTGTCAATTATAATAGTAGAAACAAAAACTAATAAGTAATAATGTTAAAACCATATACATAATAGACAAATAATACTCATATAAACNAATAATAATGTTAAGAACTATACTGTCAATTATAATAGTAGAAACAAAAACTAATAAATAATAATGTTAAAACCATATACATAATAGACAAATAATACTCATATAAACGGGTCTATAATAGATTAGGTCAGATTCGTGTCCAAATCATATCAACTCTTTTAAAATATACGGTTAATCAAGTTAAAATTCAATTGATCTGATTTTGACATGAACCTGACATTATTTTTTTTTTATTTAAGCATATTGATTTATTTTAATCTATTGACTCATTTAATTTTATGTCTAATACATTAATTTCGTATTCAATTTGTGTCGTGTCAAAAAGTTACAACCTTATTTAATGGGTTGTATGGTTTCATGTGCTTCGCAAGGANCTTTTAAAATATACGGTTAATCAAGTTAAAATTCAATTGATCTGATTTTGACATGAACCTGACATTATTTTTTTTTTATTTAAGCATATTGATTTATTTTAATCTATTGACTCATTTAATTTTATGTCTAATACATTAATTTCGTATTCAATTTGTGTCGTGTCAAAAATTTACAACCTTATTTAATGGGTTGTATGGTTTCATGTGCTTCGCAAGGAAGGAGGAGTAGCGAGAAAAGTATGAGTCCAATTCAGAAAATTGCAGAAGCCCTGAAGAAATTCGGAGAGAGAGAGAGAGAGAGCAAATAATTGTCGGGCTATTAATGTGAAACAGTATCACCTCACACCGTTTGCCAGCAAATAATTGTCAGGCTATTAATTGAAACAGTATCACCTCACACACTGTCTGCCAAAGTGGACATGGCAAAAGTGACTGAAAGCAACTTTTTTAAGTCGCTGCTTTTCTAATCTAAAAAGCATTACTCCTTTTTTTAATTTAATGTACATATTAANTCAGAAAATTGCAGAAGCCCTGAAGAAATTCGGAGAGAGAGAGAGAGAGAGCAAATAATTGTCGGGCTATTAATGTGAAACAGTATCACCTCACACTGTTTGTCAGCAAATAATTGTCAGGCTGTTAATTGAAACAGTATCACCTCACACTGTCTGCCAAAGTGGACATGGCAAAAGTAACTGAAAGCAACTTTTTTAAGTCGGTGCTTTTCTAATCTAAAAAGCATTACTCCTTTTTTTAATTTAATGTACATATTAAGTAAAACTTTGTTAGAATGAAGAATAATTGATTATAACAATATGAAACAGCCAAGACAATCTTAAAGTATAATTCTACCAATCAACACACCCAATAAAAATAATCACATTAACTCCCACAACTATCTTGAAATCATCCTCTAATGCCCTTGTCCTATATTTTTGGAAGTTAAATTTGCTTTCAAGGGTCAAATAGATCTATAGAACCGGTTAATAAATAAAAAGTGGAAAAAAAAAGAAATATAGATTAGAAAACAAATAAAGTACATAAATATGTGCAATTGGAGACTAACAATGAATGAAGTCACTTGNATAAAAATAATCACATTAACTCCCACAACTATCTTGAAATCATCCTCTAATGCCCTTATCCTATATTTTTGGAAGTTAAATTTGCTTTCAAGGGTCAAATAGATCTATAGAACCGGTTAATAAATAAAAAGTGGAAAAAAAAATGAAATATAGATTAGAAAACAAATAAAGTACATAAATATGTGCAATTGGAGACTAACAATGAATGAAGTCACTTGGCTAGGTCAAATAGCCAGTTTCTTAACAACTAATNTAATAAATAAAAAGTGGAAAAAAAAAGAAATATAGATTAGAAAACAAATAAAGTACATAAATATGTGCAATTGGAGACTAACAATGAATGAAGTCACTTGGAAGAAAACAGTAAATAACTAACTGTACCAAAAAATTAAAGGATTTTTAATTAAAAAATAATAAAATTCTAATAACATAATTTAAATAACTAAAATTTTCTATTGCAATACTCTAAGGAATGTAACGACTGAAGAACCTATTCAAAAATGTACATGAGACTGTTTATTGGAATTAAACGACACTATACATAGCTTGCCTACCTAGACCCTTGAACATGAAGTAAGATAAAGGGCAGAAATCTCTTTAGAGACTAATTGCTTAAATATCTAGTCTAGGTGACCATGACACTTGATAGAATAATTGAATAAAAGNACCCTTGAACATGAAGTAAGATAAAGGGCAGAAATCTCTTTAGAGACTAATTGCTTAGATATCTAGTCTAGGTGACCATGACACTTGATAGAATAATTGAATAAAAGAAAAAAAATAGAGGAAACGTCCAGTGAGGGTTCCATAAAAAAAGAAACCCATGAGCATATTATAAATATAATCATTCAATAATTACGGGGAGATATAAACATTAAAGCATAAATAAAACATTGACATTTTCGTAATTTAAACAGTATTACAATGCATTCACCCTACACCGAAGAGTATAAACGGACTACTAACACCTCATTGCTATAGACGAGCAAAAGGAGTGAGATAATCTCATTACAATTGGAAAAAAAAAATACAACACGTCCTTCCACGAGAAATGGCTAAAACACTGTCACTCTTATTACCAGCTAGGAAACAAAAGTGGGAGAGGTTCAACCCTTCAAATAAAAAGGATAAACAGAAAGCAGAAGTAGAGAAAACTCTAGTTAGGAAGTAATTAGGGCAGGGCTCCCCTCATTTTTTTGCTAGAACACTCACTGAAGTCTCCATTTCTCTCTTTCTTTCCTCCTTTCTTTCCTCTCTTGCACTAGGCTAAGCTTTCATGACCTCCCTTGAAAAATGAGCTAAGGAGGACTATTGGCACCAGTAAAAGGACGTAAGGTTGACCAATGGGGTGCTTGTGTTGCTTGAATGGACCAATGGGAGATGAGAGAGAGTTGAGGCGATTTAAGGACCGTTCGAACGCTATCACCACCATTCAGACGTTGACAATTCTTAGGTTTCCTTACTTGGCAGCCTCCTTGTTTGATTTCTAATTGCAGTTGCCTCCGTTTCTTTATTTAGTCTTTACATTTTGATCCTCTTAAATTTTTGTATTTTGCTTAAAACCCTGCAAAATGCACAAATTACACATTAACCCTACTTTTTTAAAATCAAGCAATAAAGACACTTTATTCTCAAGGCATAATGTAAAATACATAACATGCTCAAATGTCACAATCTTTCTAGGAATCACAACCTAGCAATTTCTAATAACCAATTCAAGCTAATTGATTTTATCCAATTTCAATACTCATTTCGTCAATTTTACAACAATAAGCAAGTGTTAAAAATCTCTAACAACCTGCTCATTTCATATAATCACACTAGGTTGAAAATAAATCTAATTAAGGAGAAAACCCTATCTCTTGAAGCGTAAAGAATAACCGTAGGAAGCTTTAGGAACTCGCTTCTAGCCCAAAGCCCTAGCTTCCAGAAATTCCATTCCTTGAACCTCGATAAAACCCGTGTTGTATGGTATATCTGTGTAGCTCTCGTCGAGAGGAACAACTTTAATACTTAGCTCGAGTTGATTTGAGCGACGAAGAGGCGTATAACGTTGAGAGAAGTTGGATTTCTCTCTTTTTCCTTCTTCTCCTCTCCAACGTGAACCTAGCAGAGAATAGGGGAAGAAATTTGACATTTCTTCCCCTTTTTATACTCTCCAAACACTTGGTCCACAATTTGCCACACATGCTCCTTTTTCGGGTCTAGTTTTGATCTGAAACAACTCAAATTTCGTTGCGATTCAAGTTTAAAATATTTTATTTCAACTTGCTTTGATTATTTCTAAATTTCAAAATTTTATTCCCAGGTCCGTTTATGAGATCACCCTACACTCGATCGCTTTGTAAAACGTAAAAAATTCAATTGTCTCGAAATTTGATGAAAATTGACAAGAGAGCTAGATTTCACAAGACAAATCCAACGACGAGGTCCGTTTCGTTATTCAAATTCTAGAAAAATTCAAGTTTTCAACCCGTACTGTAGTGACAAATTACCGATTTGCCCCTTTTTCCTAAAAAGTTCAAATTTATATGTATTTTACAAAATTCCAAAGATAAGCTCGGTTATTCAGATCAGTTCAGGAGACTAGTAACATAAAAACCTCAAGCTCCCCTAATCCGCACCTCAGAGGAAGTAGAGTGGAAGACAGCTGGCAACCACCAAGCTTTTCCTTAATGGAAACAGGCACCAGTCCAGGAACTAGGTTCGCAACTCCCCCATCACTCCTCATAACCACTACACAAATCAAGCAAAAAGTTGCATGAGGGAGGCGAAGATCACGCCTCAGATTCAGTTAAACTCAAAATTTGCTATAAATACTGTACAAAGTCCTCGCTGGGGGGTCAAGCAGTGAGAGCTTTATCAAACTACTATATAACTTTCCTT